CTCAGCCCAAAGCTTCTCCTCTCCAGGCTGAACAATCCCAGCTGTGCCAGCCTTTCCTCCCAGCAGAGCTGCTCCATCCCTCTGCTCATCCTGCTGCCTCCTCTGGGCTCTCTGCAGCAGCTCCAGCTCCTCCCCAAGCTGGGACAGGGCTGGGGCAGCTCTGCAGGTGGGGTCACACCTGAGCAGAGGGGCACAGGGCCAGAATTCCCCTTTTCCTGCTGCCTACCCTGGGGATCAGCCCAGGGCACAGGGATTTTGGGATGATTGGATGCCAAGGCACAAGGTTGGAACATGTCCAGCCTCTCACCCACCAAGCAAGCCCAGAAAGCCAGAGAGAAAGAAAACTCCATGTGACAGTCACAGAGAAGCTGCAAACACTGCAGTGGGACACCTGAGAGGCAGAGCTGTCATGGAATCACAGAGTGATTGGGTTGGAAGAGACTTGAGTTGTCCAGCCCAACTCCTGCTCAAAGAGCATCAGGCCTGTTTATTCAGGACTTCATCCCTTCAGGCTTTGAGAAACTCAAGGAACAATCTGCTCCATGAGCAGATGCTCCAAGAGCTGCTCTCATGGAAGAGAGCACCTCTATTAACAATTAAATCTAATCAATATACAGAATGCAATTATGTTCCAGCTTTATGATATTATAATTAACCTCTGACCCTTTTGGTGTCCCAGGGTATCCAAGCCAAGAGCCTGCATCACTGACTGCACAGTACCTAAACTTAGCTTTGATTTAATTTAAATTAACTCAAAATTTTTAAGTGCTCAGCACTAGGAACAGCCCTTACCTTTGGAGTTGATTTTCAGCAAGTAGGAGCGTTCCAGAGTCTTTAAAAGAGAGGATGGATTTTCGCAGACAGGCAGATTTGAATTTTTTTAAAAAAACCCATTAACTCCAAACTCAATCATCTCCACATCCCTCATCCCAGGCTTCACCACCCCTGCACTCTGCTCCTCCTCTCTTTATTAGCTTAATGAGGTCATTAATGACTGAAAATACACAAGTGCACTGGAAGATTCCAACAGTGTTTTGGATTACAGTGCATGGGCAGGAGGCTCCACACTGTCCTGAACCCACAGGGCCTCTCTGGAGCCCCCAGAGCCCTAAACCTGAGTCAGGGCCAAACCAAAGCAGCACAGCTGAGCCAGGTGTGAGCAGCAGAGCAGCCCCTGGGGTGGTGTGGGGACAAGTTCCAGCATAGGAGAGGATTAATGTGTGGGATGACACAGTGAGAGAACTGCTCCACCAAACAATGGGAAAAGCAAAAATCCCTTCTTTGGCTTAAAAAGGATTAGCGTATTTCCTTTAGGAATGGCACCCAGCAGCATTCAGTGTGATCTGCTGTGAAACCCAGCCCAGCAGTTCAAATATTCCAGCAGCAAGAAAACCCCGTGGTTTATCCCACTGGGCAGCTGCTTTGTGCAGGTGCTCTTCACCTTCACAGCCCCACTGATGTCCCAGCTCCTCCTGTGCCCCAATCCAGACAATCCCACATGCATTCCCACCCTTCCCCACACAGCCAGCAGCAATGTGCTCTTTACCTTAAAGCCGAAGTAGTTGTAGGAGAAGTCTCTGTCGTAGATGATGGCAGAGTTCAGGCGCTGCAGGAAGAACAGAACTGACTTTACAGGGTGGAACAGTGTCAGACCTGCTGCCATTCCTGACCCCAAAGCTCTGGGCTGTGAGGGGCACCAGGACACAGCAATGAAGCAGGAACAGCACTTCCCTCAAAACAACAAAAGCACAGCTTCAACATCCTTTGTTCACTCAGCGTTTGCCTGGATTTACTGAAATCTAACTGGACAACAAGACACAAAACACAGAAGGACCAAAGGAACTTCCCAGTCAGAACACAGACCTGGAAACTGAACCCAAATCTCTCCTCTCTCCTGTGCTGCCTCACTTTGCTCCAGCACAAGCTGCTTTTTCTCAAATTAATTACTTGTGCTGATCATAGCAATGAGAACATCCAAAAAACCAAATTTTACTACAAAAACACCCATAGAGGAAGAAAACTTCTACATCCCCTCTTATACTCCCCACTCACGCCCTGCACTGATTTCTGTGTTGGCTTTTTACCCTAAAACAAACATGGCTTGCTTAAAAAAATTAAGAAAATCAAATTATTTAAGCTTTCAAAATTCAGTGCAATAGTTCAGAAGTGAAACAAACCCCAGTACTCACATCTTTGTTGGCCAGAACTATGTCCAGAGTCTCTTTGGAGATCATTGGGGAGTGCTTCCCGTTGTGAGGGTTGATGTAGGTGTAGAGATCCTCCATCACATCTGCCAGGGAAAGGGATGTGAACAGGACATGTCCAGGCCTGTCCCTGCAGCACCTGGCTCTGGGATTCAGGGATGGACAAGGCAGGGACGCCTGTCCTGGGAAATAACCCCCTCAAACACACAACTGCTCTTCTACTGCCCAGCACTGCCAGCCTGGACAACCCACTTCTCCTACGAGTTCTGCCAAAACCCCACTGTAAAAAGTAACAAACGGGGAGGAAAGCGGGTACAGGCTGATCTCAATCCATCACATTTTCCACATTCCATCTCTACAGCTGCTTTTCATAAACCAGGCAATTCCATCTGCCTCGGGGAACTCGTGGGGTTTCATCTCCATGGCATTTCCAGCCAGCCGGGGCCCTCAGGAACTCCCACCTGAGAGATTTCCAAATTTCCGTGCTCCAAACCCCTCAGTGTGTGCCTGCCCCCAGCAGCTGCAGACGTTCACCCACCACTGAAGACTTTCTTGGTCTCCTTGTGCAGGTTGGAGACGGCGATGCGGGCGGCCAGGATGGCGTAGTCGGGGTGCTTGGTGGTCAGCGTGGCCGCGGTCTCTGCGGCCAGAGTGTCCAACTCCACCGTGGTGACCCCGCTGTACAGCCCCTGGATCACCTTCATGGTGATCTGTGCCTGCAGGGGGGAATGGCCGACGTCAGGGAGCCCCAGAGCTCCTGGGTCACAGGGATCTCAGTGCCAGCAGCACAGCAAACTGGAACCAGACTGGGAGAGCTGGGAATGCTCCTGGAGAGGGACTGGGGACAAGGGAGGGAGGGACAGGACACAGGGAATGGCTTCAAAGCAGGATTTGATGGGATTTTGGGCAGGAATTGCTCCCTGGCAGGGTGGACAGGGCTGGCACAGGGTGCCCAGAGCAGCTGTGGCTGCCCCTGGATCCCTGGCAGTGTCCAAGGCCAGGTTGGACATTGGGACAGTGGGAGGTGTCCCTGCCATGGCAGGGGTGGCTCTGGTTGGGATTTTAGCTCATTCAACCCAAACCCTCCTCTGTGCAGGGATGGTTTCCAGGCACTGGGATTGACCCGTCTCTACTGAACCTTTGTGAACTGCTGCTACTTTTGCACAACTCTTGAGATTTCCAGCCTCCCTGGGAACATTAGCACAGGGTTTGGGAGGGGTACTGCTGGCCTGAGAAGGTTCTGGCACAAGAAGATCCATGTCCCAAAGGAGAAACTGAGCTCCAGATAAAGAGACTCACATATGACTGTGACAGTCCATCCTGGAAGGGACAGGCTGTGAACTGCACACACAGCAGGGAATAACATGGGAGCCTGGACATGAGAAGCCAGGATAGATGACACCCGGCTGTGCTGGTTTCACTCAGAGGTTTCTCTCTAGGAGAAACCTCACTCCTCTGTGAGTTGATGGAACCAACTGAAGGCTGGTTTGGTTACTGACAGCCTGAAAAACCAATTGGATAAAGTTAGTTCACTCTGTGAACACACATTTTGAAGGAGGTAACCTGGGAAAAAAGTTCTTTTATTTCTGGTGAGTGACCAGGTAACATCGACCTCCCGGGCTCCCTCCCATGCTGGGGGGGCTCGGGAGGCCGTGGGGCCCCGTGTGCAAACCAGGGAACCCGATGGCCGGGGGGAGGAAAGGCTCATTGATGAGACCTTAGCCCGGCTTCCTCCCCTACGAGCCCGCGGCTCGGGGGGTGCCCCGGCTCCTGCTGCTGGCTCGGAGCAGCTTTGGAGGGGCCGAGCCCGCCCAGCCCTGGGGGAGGCAGCCGGGGCCTGTCTGGAAGCAGGGGTGGCCATGGGCAGGGCCGGGCCCTGTCAGGGGAGCAGGGGTGGCCATGGGCAGGGCCGGGCCCTGTCTGGAAGCAGGGGTGGCCATGGGCAGTGCGGGGCTGCAGTTAAACCCCAGAAAAGCTGATTGAGATCTCAGCCACCCATCACCCAGCACGGCCTGGGCCTGGCCCAGCCCTGTGACTTCTGTGTGAAACTTTAACTCTTTAGTGCTCAGATAAGATTTGCAAACCCCCGGCTTTCCTTTGAATATGAGAGGGGAAAAAGGAGAACTCCTGAAGTCAGTGAAGCAAGAGCTAAGTTTCTTTAGATGGAAGGAGAATGAGGAGATGCTGTGAAGATGGCTGAAAAATCCTCTTGTAAGACTGCAGGGATGAACTGATGTACTGAATATTCCTATAAACCGTGGAGAAAGACATGGGGGGTTGGAGATGTTCCATTTGATAGATTGTTAATCAAAAAGCATCTGTGTTGAGAATCCTTCGCCCCGAGGAGAAAAGGGGATCTCTTTTTCTGGAGATGAAGCATGAACAGAGAGAAAGAGAGATTAAGATAATTTTTGGTTTGGAACAGTTCATTCTTAAAAGTAAATACCCCATGAGTTTAACATGGCCCATAAGCACAGCTTTGGGAAAGCTGTGAAGATGGGAGGAGCTTCACGACTTTGCAAGGCTTTTTTCCCGGGTGGATGCAAATCGTGAAAGTGAAACCATGAGAGAATTGGGTTCTTTTCCCTCCTTGTGGTGAAGTCCCTATGGCCTGACAAGAGGAAACTTCTCTCTCCAAAGTGAACTGAAAAGAACTATTTAAGTTGGGAACTGACTGAAGTGCGTTTTTTGTATGTTTGTTTTGTTGTTATGAAGGTTGGGAGAGGGTGGGAATGAGTGGTCTGAAGATCTTATTCTGAATTTGCTTTTCTTTCTCTTTCTTTGTGTAGTTAATGAAGGTTTTTATACCCTTTTAAGTTTTAGCCTGCCTTGCTCTTGCTCCTGGTTCTGTGTCACAACAGAAAATGAATATATTTAAATTGGCAAGTCAAAACTCTAACACGGGTCAAGGACTGGGAGTGACCATGCAAACAGAGACTACACAACAATCTGTGATTGGCTGGAAGCCTTCTAGAACATTCCATTATAGTCTATACAAGTGTGTGCTCAACCCCATTTTGGGGTGTTCTACAGGAGCTACACAGACCTGCAAACATCAGACCTCTAGAGGTGTTTTTGTTTCTTACAGGTAGCTGTGAGCAGACATTTCAGGTTATGCTTTATGTCAGCCCTTTTTATTTCTCCTTATATTAAAGCTTTCAGTTTCTACCCCTTTAGTCATTGCCATCCCTTTATTACTTATTTGGCCACCTCACCAACACCATCCTGGGGTCAGGTCCCAGACTCCAACACATGGCTGCAGAATCAGTAAAAATTCAGGGGCACGGGAGGACTCAGAATTTCATTTGTGTCCTCAGCATCAGCTCCCAGTCAGTGGGGACAAATCAGGACACTTCCTGCTGTGGTCACCAAGTCACCAGTGTCCCCCTCCTGCTGTCCATCCCAAAGACTTCAGGGTGCAGGAACAATGGCAACTGTTTGGTGAGTGGAATTTCAGACTGGAGAATGGATCGTGAGAATCTGGGAGATGGGAAGAGCCTGAACTGGTGACTCCAAATGGCCAGACTGGGTCTGAGACCTGCATGAAAATCTCACACACATCAGTGGGTCCAACAGGGAGTCATCCTGGGCAAAGGCTTTGGAAGGAGAAGCTTCCATGAGTGGGATCAATACCCACTGCAAAGCAGCTCAGAAAAGCAAGCAGGAATGTGGCAATGACAGGGAATTCTGTCCTGGTGTTTGACCACAAGGGAATCCAGAGCTATTCCATGTGGCATTGCTCCAGCTTTGCACAGTGATACTGGGAGCAACCTAACAATCCAAAATATGGGAACTGGAGCCACAAAACTCTTTTTTTAAAGTACCAGGGGCTCAACAGCTTTCCCAAGGTTTGAAGGGAAAGGGATCTACGGTAAAGAAAGGGATTTTTCCCCTCCACAGTCTCTGTGGGGAGCAAAACCTGGGAAGCAAAACCCCCAGAACACAAACAATTCCAGCAAACACATTCTGGATGCGTTTGCCAAGAGCTCATGGAATCCCAGAACATCCTGAGCAGGAAGGGACCAACAGGGATCCTCAAATCCCACACAGGACACCCCGGGAATTCCTGCCTGGTTTGCCCAGGAGCAGAGGGGTCAGGGCAGGACTCACAGGATCCACGAAGTCGGCGTTGAGGCCATAGCAGAGCTTCTGGATGCGCGATGTGATCTTGTCAAACATGACCCGCTCCTGGCGCCCATCTGGGGACAGATCAACCCGGGCTCCCAGTAAGGACCAGTTCAGCACAGC